CTTGTCCAATAGGGGTTACACCTGTACCTACCTTGTAATGTCATTGAGACCACTGGGGGAGATAATGCAGTTAAAAGCACTTAGAACAGTGGCTGCCATGCAAACAACACTCAATTAACATTGGCTACCTTCGTTATTGTTGTTATTGAGGGAGAAGCAAACTTCTCTGCCATCTCATGCTGCTAGTGATGCCGAATTAGCAATGATACACTAGAAAGAAATCTAGATCTGGAAGAAAATGTCATTCTGGCTCAAACAAGGTTACACAACTGCTTTACAATCCAGCAGGATCAAAGACCCGGCTGGAAAGTCAGAGAACACAGCTTCTCTTCCAGGATCATTTTCTGTTACCTGATGATTCTTTTTGCAGCTTTTGGCCAGACTTTCCCTTGACCTTTTTCATGGTCTGAGCCAGCGGTTCTCCAACTTGATTGCTCATCATTATCACCTGGAGGTCTTGTTAAAACAGATGGCTGGGCCCTACCCTGAGTTTTGAATTCAGGAGGTGGGAGGGGTGCTATGAATTTGTATTTCTAACAAGTGTCCTGGTGATGCTGCTGGTCCAAGGGCCAAACTCTGGGAACCACTGTTCTAAGCAGTTTCCTGTGATGGAGGACAAGGGGCAGGGGAGGATTCATGGAGGAGAAAGCCTTTGAGTAGGAGTTTGCCAGACAGGGAAGAGGTGGACGAGTGCCCAGTATGTACTGAGAATGGCAGGTGGGAGATAAAGTTGACAGGTCTCTAGGCACTGAGGAGCTGGGCCACAAAGGCCAGGTGAGAAGTCTGGGTTTCACTTGGGTGACCTCTTAGTAGAGGATGGCTTGGGGAACCTGGAAGAGACAAGATCAGAACTGGCAGCAGCATGAAGGTCAGTTTAGGGAAGAGACAGGTCAGAGGCTGCCAGGATAGCAGGCAAGGATAGTGCAGGAGCTGAGTCCAGAGCAGAAAACAGCCTCGATCCTCAGCCCAGCTGCACTTCCTCCTCCTTAAACCTGGATATTTCCTCTATGATATAACTTTTCAAACTATGTATTGAGACCCATGATTCACAGAGGTCATGAGATGAAGTAGTGGTTGCCACCAGCAGTGAAGAAATTGATTGGATGATAATAAAATTTAAAAAATCAGAGCTCATCATACACAAGGGTGTTGTTTCATAAAACTTGTTTCAGGTGCATGTGTGTGTATGGCTCATGATGTATGCAGTCAAAAAGGCCCGAAAGCCAGGGCTCTGTGCAGCTTTTAGTTCATGAACCAGCCTGGGGTGGCCTCTACCCTGCTGGAGCATCTAGCACAGGCCCTGCCCTGAGGAGCTGCCGATCCCAGTGAAGAGAGGATGTGGCCCTGTCAACCCAGACCAGGAACGGCTGAGTGGATGTGGGAGAAGAGAGCAAGCCAAGCCCTAGAAGGGTCCCAAAGAGGGAGGGACTCATGGAGATGACCTTGTAGGGTGGCTGGGATTCTGACACCTGGACCTTTGGGAAGAGGGATGAGCTCCTGCAGACACAGTGATGAGGTTGTGAGGAAGCGGAGGGAATGGGGTGAGAAGGTAAATAAAGTTTAAAAAAGAATCTGAGGCCAAGGCCCAACAGAGGTACAAAATCCAGAGCATGAAAAGGCCTTTAAATATCAGTCGACAAGTTCAAGTTACAGATGAGGAAACTGTGGCCTATTTGCCCAATCCCTGCCCAGGACATGAACACAGGCTTTGAAAGCTTCTGGTCCAGTGTTCTTCCAGGACACACTGACGTCTCCAGGTCCTGACTCAGAGGCTAAAGTTCACCTGGTTTGCACCAGGGAGTCAGTAAACATCCTGGCAGGATAGCAGGTCGAGCCCCTGCTTGTGACAATACCCTGGGTGCCCTAACCAGACACTGCACTCACCGCTCTCTCCCTCCACACCTGTGAGGTAGAAACCGTGGGATCATCAACCCACTCCCTTTGAAATCTTCAGCAAGTCTTTGTAACACTGTAATTGGGACTGAGTTTAAAAAAAAAAAAAAGTTATTTTCCCTTTGCATGGGCCATTCTCTACCCAGCCTACAGTCTCTGTAAGGCCTGGGACTGCATATAACAAAACCCCAGCTGGGCCACGCCAATGCACACTGGGCGTACAGCCTTCTTGTCTGCAGGCTTATGTTCAGATTGTCTCTATTTACACATTAAGAAACTGAGTTCCAGAGAGGATCTGTTTGCTTAGGTACACTGAGGATGAAGGCACAGGGGGTGGACGAGACCCTGGGACTGCTGGTCCCAGGGCTCCTTCCCACGGAGCCCCTCAGAAGCTTCTAGCATTTCAGACATGAGATATACCTTGGCTTTGTACCTGTGAGTGGCAAAGGAAGACCAGAAACTTCACACTGTGGAATTGACAGTCTTTGATCATACAGTGTTCTCTCTGGTAAGGAACCCTATCCTACTGACAGCAAACTTTCCATGTTTTAGAAATTCTCAGATATGCACAGAAAAAAAGATAGCGGAGTTAAAAAGATAAAGTATGCAAAAGCCCGCATACGTCTATTGTCCTCTTTCTTTTCACTGATTTAATGCTGCTGAGGCCTAATTCATTTTCCAGTTGGATATGAACTCACCAGAGAAGGCTGTGAGCATCGCCCAAGCACGTGGCTAATAGCTCTGCAAAATTCGGTCTTCAACTTCTTTTTATGCTACGTATGTATATAACATCAACACTGCATCTTATTTCCTCTCATCCACCTTGATTGAGGCAGAAAAAGGATAAGCAGCAAATGCTGCTGCAAATCCCCATACAAAGTGGTAATTATTGCATCATTATATTTGCTATTTTACTTGTCATGTACCATTAGAAGGTAACAAGATCATTGTCAGTCAAAGATTGTGGAGATAATTAGAGCACCTATAGGTTAGCAGGAAATCAAATTGGTGCTGGTACCCATCAATGCCGAGGAGCTGCAAGTAATTAGAGGGAAAATATGCAGAGGTTGAGATGAATAAAGCCGCGGGGACTGAACACCATGACTGATTTGAGAGTTTGACTCCTCTTCCACGTTCTGACATTGCAGATGGCGACGTCAGAAGAGGTGTCCAACAGCAGGCAGTGAGGTCTGCCTGGAACGGCACATCGAGATGCCACTGACATTGTCTGTGAGGTCCTGAGAACTGCCTGATTTGGAAAAACAGTGTTTATCATGTTTTCCAGTCCACTGGTTTTTCTTCGTTATTTTCACCAGTCTGGGAGTCGGGTATAAACACGTGAACTGAGGGAAGTGAGCAGCGGTTGCTGCTCGGCCAGGCATGATGGGCTCTTCAAGCCTGCAGGCCCGTTCCCCACCAGCAGAGTCTGTTCAGTGCCACTGGACGTAGAGGTTCACCCTGCGCCCCCACCACAGACACGGAGCCCCCAGCATCTGTCCACTTCCATCCCTAATTTCCACTCAGCAGCCAACCGGGTCCTGCTCCCCTGGGCTGCTATTGTTTTCCAATAAGATACAAACACCAATCCAGTCTCAGCAAATAGCAATTTCACCAGGCTGATACAAGAAAATTTAACAATTCTTTTTACATCCTGAAAAGACAAAACAGATTTTGGAGGAAGTCTGCAAACTGATGAGGGATATGCCATGTAATTCAGCAAGACATAAAAAGAGTTGAAACTGGAAAAAGCATCTGGAAGGTCTTAGGTAACAAACAACTGCGTCCACAGGTTGAAATGCAAAGAAACAAGCAAACAGAAGCTGTCACAGGCCCTACACCAGCTTTCTCATCAATGCTGACAAAGCAAATGCTTTGGGTTTGTTTTGAAGCAGGCCCGAGACACAAACATCACTTGCTAACTTGGGTCACATGTGTTTAGCTACAAAATCCAAAAGTACCTTCACATAACTTCTCAGAACATCAAAAAAAAAAAAAAAAAAAAAATCCACAACTGACTGCATGGGGTGCAAATGTTTACAGAAGCTAATCAGTGGGGCCCTAACTGAGTTAGGCAGGGTGGCCAGCCAGTGCAGGTAAGCCTTCCGTTCTTACAGGGCTGGGTTCAAGGTGATTCTTTTCAGGAGCCCGGTCTTGCACAAGTATGGCTTCCTCCCTAAGGTAATGATGGCCAATCTCATGTCACACAAACAAGCAGCTGGAGGCTTAGTTCACATTTTTTAATAACATGGCACAGTTTACATTACACAAGAAGGCTCCGCCGATGAGAACATGCTGAAGATTCAGTCGCTTCACTTTTCTTTTCACATAGGATCTAGAAAGGACTTTATTACATACAGAATAAACAGCAAAAAGGTCTGTATAGAACGATCTCTTTACAATACTGAGAGCTACCACTACAGTTCCAGTGTACATATTCCTTGGATTTTTTAGTTGTTGTCTTAAAAAAAAAAAAAAAACACTGCACAACATCTGGAGTTCACAAAATCTGAAGCTCACAACTAAACCTTCAGTTTACTACTAAAATAGATCTCTCTGCTTATTAGAAACAATGGTCTGTAGTTAACTTTTTTTTTTTTTTGCAAAAACAGGATAACAACGTCAGATAGCACTTTAATATACTAGACCAAATGGAACTAATTTTATTCATACATATATTTTACAGTCCAGTAGACAAGATATATTGTATTTCTCTGCTAGTAAAGTCATATTCTCTCCAAATATGTAGACAAGAGGCTTAATGTATTATAAAAGTATTATGAAGAGACATTAAGATTGATGCAAACTCAAAAACACACACACACAAGACTTCTCTGCCACCTGTCACCCTCTGCAACTCTTGATGGCTCCATAAGGTTGACCTGTTACAGCTACTCCCGGACTTTATTACCGACTGGAATACAATGAGTCACATTGGGAAATGTGCACCTTGAACTCATCAGTTATTGAATACAGGGAAAACATATCCATCATCTGAGAAAACTTGAAGCTTTCTTTCAGGATCTGTTTGGATGTAATTAAATCTCATTATAAAATGAGGAAGTGTGTAGATATGAAATAGGACACACGAAAAAAAGCATGGGTCCCCCATGAGATGTGTGTGTAACCACGTGACTGACGGTGACGAGATTCTGGCGACCCGTTTTTATCTGGCAGACATCACCACCTGTCCCCTGATCTTGGCATCTGACACATCCTGTCCTCCCTGGCACTGGCTGCTCGCATCCATAGTTACCTTTCCGGGGCTGCACTTTCCCCCAAAGCCCACAAGCAACAACTTCAGATGCAAAGTTTCAGCCTGTGGTCCAATTTGCAAAATAGGATGTTCCTCCATTTGAAAAAAACAAGCAAGGAAAACAGAGTCATATCACGTAAGTGCTTGTTCAGGGAAAATATGACCTTAAGTATGTTGTAAATGGATTTGAAAAGGCTCCTTTGAGTTAGGTGGGCTTTTGTGAAAAGCCCTAACATTCATTGCATAGTTGAAGGGTTTAGCTGTCTATAACAATATATGGGAACACAGCCTTAGCAGACTGTGTTCACTGATATTAAGTCTGCAAATAGCACATTTAAGAAGTATTAATGTATTATGTTACTTAATCTTTATCTATTTACATCTGTACAAAGTAAAGCTTTCATCTTACCTTTTTGCATATATGAACCATCAGCTCATGAAGCGATCTTTTTTACATAACTATGTACACGGGCTTCCCTTCTCATCTGAAAGAGCTCTGCATGATGGATGGTGTGGACCCCCCCACCCCTGCCCCCATGATCATCAAGTTGGTGTGTGTTGTCATCTTTACTGTTTTGGTTCAAATCAAAAAGTTTTATACTAGAAACAAAGAGTAGGAGAAGTGAGAAGATATGACTTAGCTAAAAGATCTGAAAAATCTCAACATATAATATACAAAATCATTTCAAAATCGGCACTGAGTCTGTACATTTTTACAAGGGGAAGAAACGGGACGTGCTGCCCCAGTCTGTGCTGGGTGCACGGGTTCTCCCCCTGCAGCATCTGCCGCAGCCTGTGCGCAGGACTTCTGCTTCCTCTATCGCCGCCGCCTCTCTCCTTATCGAGCTTCGATGTCCTTCAGAGTGTGGGAAGGCGGCCTCTCCCTGATCTCTGCGGACAGAGGGGTCGTCCTTCGGGGAGAGACCGGGCGGCCCCCCAGCGTGGAGATGAGCGGGGGAGGCGCGCTCAGCGCCGCGCTCGGAGGGGTCTTGTTGAGGAGTCCGTTCTGGTGGCCCGCGGTGGGGCTGATCCGGGGGTAGTGCATGCTCGGCAGCCCCGGGGTGATGAGGCTGGGGTGCGGCAGGTGGCCGTCCAGGGAGGCGGGGTGCACAGGGTGGAGCCGCGGGTGCTCGTAGTCTTCTCTGAGCATGTGCAGGCGCTCCCGCTCGTCCAGGTGGCCCCCACGCTCGTGATCCCGCCGGGGGTCCACAGACAGAGGGTGGTGGTGGTGGTGGTGGTGGTTGTAGTCGTGAGGCTCCCTGTCCCGGAAGGAGCGGTCAGCTTCGTACAGCCGGGGGGTCGAGAGGCGGTGGAGAGGGTCGTTCCTGAGCAGAAAGTCCCTGCCCAGAGGGTCTCTCCGGTGCATGTCAAGTTCTCGGTAAGGGTCCCTCAAGGGGTCCCGGATGGGGTCCCAGTGGAAAGAAGGGTAAGGGAAGCGCTCTCCACCCGGGATGGGGCTGATGCCCATGAAGGGGGTCATCATGCGAGTCCTGTCCAGGCTGCTGATGCTGTTCATGGGGTGAATGCCCGTCACCCCCACCGTCATGGGCATTGACGCCAGGGGCCCCGGGTGCACGCTAGACGAGGAGTTTGGAGGTGGCGGCTCTGAGGACCGGTGGCCCTGGGGGGCCTCCGGAGGCAGGTCGTGGTCTTCTTTCCTCTCCTCCTTCACCTTGACCTCAGAGCTCTTCTTGGGGTTCTCGTAGGCCGGCTCACCCTTGCGCGGCTCGGCCTCCCGGCTCGAGGTGCTGTTGGGCCTGGTGCTCTCCACCACGGGGGTCCGCACGTAGGGCGATGGCACCCGGGCCAGCTGCTTGGCCTCTTCGCCCATGGCCCGCCCCTCATGGCTGTGCCCGTCCTTCTCGGGCAGGTGGCCCTCCTTCGCCTTGTGCTCATCGGTGGTCAGGTCCTTGCGGGATTCCGAGTGGTCTCTGTCCCTCTCTTTGGATTTGTCTTTGTCGCGAGCCTCAGTGTTCAAATGACCCCTGATCTGTTCAGTGGAGCTGCGGTTGTGTCCCAGGGCGTTCACCGGGAGGACAGGTGCTGGTGAAGGATGGCTGGAGTGTCTCTTCTCGACGCTCTCCCTGAGGAGGAAGCGGGAAACAAGGATGCAGATGAAATGGGCTTGTCGGCCTGGCAAGGGGCTGCTGATGAAATGGTGGTGTGAGCAGGACAGGCTGGGGCTGGTTCCCGCGTCACAGAGGCAGCGGCCCACCGCGGGCTGGGTGAAGCCAGCCACCCTGATCTCACTCACCTCTATTTCAGAGGAGGCTGAATGGGGTGAAGTACTAGGGATGAGGGTGAATGCGAGAGCCTGAGGGGAAAAGTAATACCATCTGGATTGAAGAGCCTTGTGCCTCAGGCGAGAGCACAGAGGAAGGGCCTGCAGAAAGCCAATGTGGACCCAACACGGTCCCCAGGTGAGTGACGAGGCAATACAGCTCCTCTGTCTAGTCTCAGCAGCATCTAGTGTTAAGAAAGACCGTCTAAGAGCCCAAATGCAATATGACTTTCCTTCCAACCTTGTGGAAGGGGCAGGAAGAGTTGAAGAGAAACAGCATAGGAGCCACTTGCTCCTGAGACTCTGCAAGACATAGCAGGTAAGGGAGGTTTGGAAGGAAACTACAATTTCAGGACTTTGGGGTTGCAAAAGTACTTCTGCGTTAGGAAGGACAAGAAAGCCAAAATCTGCTGAGAAGATGGAGGAGGGGCAGTAGGAAAAGCAGGTTCACGGACTCAAACCTCACAGGGGAACCAGGAACAGCAAGTGAAGATGTGAAATAAGAACTGGAGAGACCTGTCTCGGATGGGGGCTTGGGAGTCCTGAGCAGAAAATGCAAAGTGGCAGAGTGACAATAAGGTAAAATCTGAAGGTTTAAGAGTCAGGCAAGTGTCAGGGACAGCCACAGGACACACAGGGTGAAGGTAAGGAGAGGAATAGGCCATCCTGTTGGCTCAATGACGACAAGGGTCAGAAGACCACTGTGGCCACAGCAAGAGCATGAGGGAGGGTCCCTGCAAATGCAGTTTCCTGTCCACTCACGAAGGCCAAGAAGAATAGGGACTGTAATGGGGAGAACAGAAGACCAGCGACTTAAATCCACCAATAGCGGAGGAGGTTTGCTGGCCGCCCTGCGTCCCACTCAGTGACGGGCTGTGTGAGAGGGCCGGGGCCTGCCTCAGGGAGGCAGTTTACAGCACAGAGCTGAATGCTGTGGATGGCCCTCCCCCGGTTCAGAGATCTTTATCACACTGCCTGGAAGGAAATTGGTCGTTTTGTAAGAAAGAAATCAGTCAGCATGATGGCCTATGCAGAGAACCTACCAGCCTGGCACACTGAGAGACTTGCAGAGCTGAGTTCTCCTAAATCGCTAATGCACGTGCACACACACGCCTGTACACACACACACACTATACACAGCAAAGAAGTAAAGATATGGATCAGATCTGAGTCCGAAGCACTAAAAGGAAACTGTTACAGGGTATTTTCTGTCAAGCCCATCTTGTACATCCCTTACTCATCAGCTCATTCAAAATGAAAAGAGCCCAAAGAAAGGAAAAAAGAAACTCGTTGTCAAGACTGCTTATGACATTCTTCAGAAAAAATACTGTAAGACATTTTAAGGCTCTTTAGGGTAACTTTTTTGTTAGGCATGGGTTACCACGTACAGGGACGACAACAGTTATTAAAATTAATCCTCCACTGGCAAAATCAAATCCAAAGCTTCTTGTTGACATTTCTCTAAATCTAGGTAAGTAAAATTTCATTACTCATCTGTGAGCCCCAGCCTTTGAGTCTGAACAAAATTTGAGAGAAATATGATGAGGCAATGCAAACATGGCTTTCTAAAAGAAAACAAAAAGAAAGAGAGAAAGAGCAAAACCCGTGGATGAGTTTATGGGCTGCACGCACTTGAAAGCAAACATGGTGCTGATTCATGCTGTGTGTGTCTGGTCCAAAGCTCTGGCTCTCTAGCTTCTAGAGAGAGATTTCTATGTGGATACGCTAGTGTTCACAGGGACTCTGGATGTTCTAAATGTGTAACTGCTCTAAGACAGCATCTTTCACTGGACTACAGACTAGGTCACGATACACTGCGGGCCCAGGGGTTGCTTGGGACGTGGGCTGCCAGTGCTGGGGCTGCCGCGGGAGGGAGCCGGGTGAGCTACGGGCAACTGAGCACAAGGCTGGGCGGGGAAGGAGGGTGGCCGGTTACACTGGTCCCTGGCACAGAGTGGGCTCCCCCACTGGGACTCGAGAGCGGTTTCTTTCCGTACCTTTCTTTGTCATCTTTACTAACAGATGAGTCTCGTTTATCTACATCTCTATCTCTGTCATGAGCTGCAGCAGACGCGCTGCGCTCCAGCTCCCCTGGCTTCAGCCAGGGCGGAGGGGTCGGGAACGACGGAGGCGTTCGGTGCAGCCGGTTCCAGGGCTCGTGAGGGTTGCTAAAGTTCTGCACACTGGGGCCATCCTTGTGGCCGAACATTGAGTTGGGTGCTGAAATGGTGAAGTGGAGAACAAAAAGGTTTAAGAGAAATTATATAATCTGCCGTAATGAAGGTACTTACCAAAAAACTTTTAACAGCATTCAGAGTTAAAATGAATACATATTATTGGGAGCTGGAAAAGGAAAGGAGATTAACAAATTCATTAGAGGAACTCTGGTCCTACACTGGAGAGGTAGCTCACAGCTTTTTTTTTAGGTACTTACCAAAAAACTTTTAACAGCATTCAGAGTTAAAATGAATACATATTATTGGGAGCTGGAAAAGGAAAGGAGATTAACAAATTCATTAGAGGAACTCTGGTCCTACACTGGAGAGGTAGCTCACAGCTTTTTTTTTTTTTTTTTTAAAGCCAAAAGCAAAGGTGGGGACAGAGGGGAAATTAAAAAGGAAAGGGACCAAACAGGTGTCAAGACTGCCTGATCAAACACACCCGGGGTACACAGAAGTCCCAGGCATGGAGAAGGGTGTGTTACGATGGTGTGGCTTAGATGGGTCCCCTCAACTCATAGTAGAGTTCACGGTTTCCTCTCCCCACCACTGCCCTGCTAATGTGACAGCTACTTTTCCCACAATGTCAGCAAAGTAAGACAAGCATCATCAGAGACCAGGCAGGGCCTTGACCCAACAGACACATGAGGTCTCCATACTATATTTTAAATAAAGATAAAATTGTGACGATAAGCTCAGAGTTACAGTTAGGTCTCCTGTACCTGGAAAATATGGTATGTGGCAAGAAAGAAAGCAAACCAAGTGTTGAGTGACTAAATCATGTTCAGAACACGAGCAGGGCTGCGGTTCTGTTCCTATTCTAACAGTAGGAAACTACATGCCCTCCCAGAGTATGGAGAGTGGAACATGGCCAACTCCTGACTATCCCGAACCTGGTGTGCTTTCCTGAGAGTCTTCACTGTGCTTTTCTCCAATCCCACTAATGCCAGAGGCGAGGTGAGATCTAACAACTGTTTTCACTTCTTATGAGAGCGGCAGCCGAAGTCTTGGAGAGTGGAGAAGAAATGTAGATCAAATGGTGAACTTAAGTAAGCTTTTACAGTAATCAATGAGGTTGCCATTTCTGACCCTCAGTAACATGTATTGACAGTGGACTCTCCTTCAAATGGTGGTTTTGAACACTTATACTAACTTCACTGAGACCAGGTTTTTCAATGTTATAACCTACATTTGTTTCCCAAGAGCTCAGTTCCCTCTCATCTAGAAAGGTCTTGAGACATACACAGGTCAGAGGAGATAAACAATCCAAGGCAGATTTAAAAGTTAGAGGTACTCACTAACTGAAGGATTCCCAAGTCCCCCGAAGGCATTGCCACCGACTGCTGCTAGGCCTGTGAACGTGGATGGCCGATTAAAAGGCTCTGTGGACAAGATCAGGAAGAAGAAATGGTCATGGGCTCTGTTGGGTGAGAATGTAAAGCTTCCTGGGAGCAATGGAAAGTGATGTGGGGTCCTCACCCTCTCTATCCCAGACCTTGTCTGCCCCACTTCTTCTGCTGGGTTGTGTATATGGTTTTTACTGCACTTGGATTTAGGCACTCAATTAGCAAAATCTTCATGAGGGCTACTTTTCCAGAACTGTGCCACCAGCATCACAGCTCCTTTGCCCAGTGGGAGCACTACTGGAGCCATGATGCTCTAAGCTGCTTTCCTGCCCAGTCTCCTGCTCTTCCAGGAACGTGTGCTGCACGTTCTAATGGAACAGAGGTCAGATGACATCCTGAAATCAGTCTCTTGGGGGTGAAATGCTGAAGGCACCCCTGCTGCCGTGCACACCGTTGCCTGCGGCTGCTGTGCACATGCAGAGAGTGTCAGGCAAATAAAGGCCACGAGAGCGTGCACCTCCACTAGAGGAGATTACTAGGGCAGTGAAACATACAGTACAGAAAAAGGGTAACTCCCTTCATAACATCGTCTTGTCTTTCTTTCCACCTTGTAGGGGTGACTTTAGCTGTGGGGTTTCCTTCAGTGGGCAGGACCAGAGTGTATAAACTGGGATTCCCCGAGGTGCCACAGAAAGGCTTCCGCCCAGTGCATGTGACACGGAGCCACTGCTGAGCACAGGCTTGCTACATCAGAGTGTGGTCTAGAGGTGCTGAGGTCCTGAAGACAGACGGCACGTGTTGAACTTCTAAGGGAACACTGTCATCTCTCTAAGTATAAGTGAGGTGGCCAGGACTGTCGCCCACTGCCAGCAAGCCAGCAGGAGCAAGGTCAGCAACTCCAAGGTTCTGAGACACACACATTGACCCCGCCGTGGATGGGCGACTCACCTAGGTGAGCAGCAGGGTTCAGGAAGTTGCTGTGGTGGGGAGGAGGCCCGAAGGGGGTCCCAGCTGGGTGTGCAGCACCTATTAAGTCAAACATAACAAAAGCAGATTTTACAAAATGCCAGCTTCTGACAGGCAACTGGCTCCTGCTTGCCTAAGGGCCCCACAAGAAAATATGTTGATGTAAAGACATGGCTAAAGTCCACCCAAGCCCCTGCAGACCACAAACCAGGCAAAAGAAAATGTTCTTGTTAAGAAGCAGAAAATAAATCTCCCCCTTTCCTCTTTCTCAGCTTGACTTGCCTCCACTAAAGAGAGAGAGAGAGTCCTTTTTTAAGCCGATGACAGACACACAGCATTAGAAAATGCTGATGGCCAGGGGTGGAGGTGTCTATAGCCAAGCAAATTTGGAGAAATACTGGGTTAAATAATGTTGAGCAAGATTCTTTACTGAAGGGCTTCTTGAAGCCATTAATATGCTCCTAGACACACTCATTCTCTAAGAGTGAATACTTTTCCCAGAGCATCTTGGGGCACAAGCTTTCACTATGAGAAACAGTGTCCGGAGCTGTGCACGTCACTCGTCCTTACTCAGGAGTGGCTGTCCAGAGGCTGCACTGCCCTGGGCCCTGCAGAAGCCCGCTCACTGCAGAGTGGGCTGGTTCTCACACAGCCACACTGAAGGGTGGCATAAGGCCCGACCCTGGGAAACTCACTGTGGTGAGTTATATTAGGTTACGGGAGATGAAGTCCTCCGATGTCTCTCAACTTTCCGTGCCAGGAAAAGCTAGTTTATTCAGGTCTTTGAACACTGAGAATTTCATAACTGCCTCTATCAAGTCTCTGCTATGCCTGTCAGGGGACTCGTATCTAACTTAGTGGTCGTCCTGCCTTTGGCTTTCCCTGTATGCCCATTTCCTCATCTGCTTTATATGCCTAACATGTAGTTCTTTAAGATGCCTCAAATCCTCTTCTTGAAGGAAGCTGGGAGAGAAAGAGGGAAAGAGAGCATGCACGTGTGAATCAGGGAAGGATGGCACTTCTAGAAGCTCAGGCAGCATGCTGGCTTGTCAACACTCAGCTGGGAGTGAGGAAGCAGCTCTTGGGCAGGCAGACTTGGCCCTGGACAAGAGCTCTGCCAAGGTCATCTGAAGAAGCAATTCGTTTATTTCAGGCATCGGTACCCAACAGTGAGATGGAAGCAGTTGAATTTAACAAGTATGCGCAAGTTATTCATACCAGTTAAAAGTTTCACCAAATAACCCTTTTATACAAAATCCAGTATTGCTTACACTAAGAAAGATTACCTTCTAGAACAGAAGTATAAACAGGGCCTGGATTAACACAAATTTACTAACAACTGATCCCATCCCTGCATTTTGCCTAAGTTCCTAGAAACAAATATGAATTCCCTCAGGAAAATAGATTAAATGTAGGAAGGCTGTCAGTCTCTACACTCTAATAACTCAGCTGATGTTTTGGATTGTGTGCTTTGGACTGCAAGGGTCTTGTGGGCTGGGTCTGTAGAGGAAGCCACAAGGTACAGGAGAAATGCCAGGCACAGGGCAACTCAGAATTCCTAGGTGGTGGCTTATTCTCCACCTGGGAAACGTGAAAAGGATACCCCATCTCCACAAAGCTAATGTACTCCAGGATATTCATGAGGCATTAGAAGTGTTGCCAGCTAAATAAAATTTTGGCCACATACTGTCTGTGTAGTACAAGCTAATTAATGCTTCAATGAAGACCAGAGCTTTGCTCAGCCCAGGGCTCCCAGGGGTGCCTTGCACTTCCAGAATTATTGAAGCAAAAAAAGCCAATTCATCTGCTTGGCTCGAATGGAAGCCAGGGAGAAATCTATTTCTCTCCAAAAATTGCTCTTAACATAGCCCTGTCTCAGAGCCTAGGTGCCATGGAAACAGAGCCTTCAAATATGTCCCTAGACAGAACTGCCTGAGACCTTAGTAAATCACATCTACCCTCAAGGGCGATGCACCTGCTTTGGCAACAAGGCCCATTGTAAAGACGATATCTTGCAGTGTGGGTGTTTCACTCCTCCTGAATGGAAGAGCCATAGGTCCACGAAAAATGAGTCTTGGACAAAAGCCTGAAAAGGCAACAGGCAGAATGGATGTGAAATGTGCTCCCTGAGGATCAGAAACAGGGAGCCCTTGACTATTTACGTGCAAAAGTATAAATTCTACTGAGCATAGTAGGTATGAAGTTATGGAGCTCATTACTAGAGTGGGCCCGATGCCATTTGTTTAAGTATTTACTGGGCAGAGCCCTGTACTAAGGACTGTGCACTAAAGACACTTTTGAAAAGAGTGGACGATAAGATTGGTACCAAGAAGGCTGTGCTCATCTAGCAGGTGCACCTGAGAGCCTCCTCTCTGCATGACCTGGAGCAGGAATGGGCAGTTCTGCTCGCTCCCCACCTCCCAAGTGCCCAAGAGATACTTTGGCATGGGTCTTCTCAGAGGTAAAACGAGTTACAGATCTAATGAGGAGGTCACTTGGCTGTTTTATACTCTGTCCCCTATCTTCCTTTATCGCTATCACCAACCAAGCGGTCTACCCTCCCTATCACAGACCATACCACCAGCAACTATCTTAATTATATTTCTGTATCTTCAGACCCTCCTCATATAATTCCTGGCACTGTTTCCTTATGATCTGTCCTTGCAAGATTTCTGGTCTTTTTCAGTAGTGTTTGATATGCTTGTGAGTTACACTGGTTTAATATAGAAGCAAATCATGAGCTGAAGCAGTATGAACCCTGTAAGGGAAAGACGATCTTTATTTCTGTCTTTAATGAGAAAGGGCATATCAACAAACAAGGGCCCCTCTCCCTAGATGTGCTGGGATGTTGCCTTGCAAGTTGGCATGTATTGTGTATTTTCGTGTAGTGACTGAGTGACGGCATAGAGCCCAAACACGTGTTTAGCTACCTGAGAATGGCTGGGCTCGGCTCTGCCCTCCCACTCTGAACTCACCAGCGGCAGAGAACAAAGTTGAAGGCCGGGCCAGGTCATGAGGGTGGTGGATGGCTCCGAAGAGACTGGGGCCTGGAGGGCGGCTCAGGAACTCGGGTTTCAATCCAAAGTCCAGCTTATGTGGGTCTGACTGCATCTGTTTCTAAAGCAGCAAGGGGAACAATAAAAGATGAAATCTCGAGATGAACAGCAGGGAAGAAAGGCATTAATATAGGGGCTGAGAATGCCAGAGTCGCCTGTGCAATGGTGCCCTCGGGCTCTGAGCCCCAGCCAGGTTCATGCTTACACGGCTGTGAGAGCGCAGCGACCCACATGCCACTGGACCCTCAAATGCTGCAGAGCCAGGCGGCAGAGCTTCTGCTGGTCTTTGAGCTTGTATGGTTTGAGGAATAAAACCATATCCTATTTATTCAAACTGCTACCACTCCTGGAGTAGTTTATTATTTTGCTGTAAAGACCTAGGTTAGCAGGTTTTAAAATAGTAGTATTTTAAAGCTCATTTTATTAGGAATTCTGTATGAATAATCTCCTGTGTAAATTAATTGTTTAATGACTCTCTGCCATACTCTAATAGATCACAGTCCATTAGTAACTGAAAGTTATGAAGAAATATTTGCATGCCCACAAGCTAATTTTCAAATGATCACTGTTACATAATTTCTAAAAACCCAAACAAAAACAAAGTGGGGATATTAATTTAACTAATAGGAGCCTTTTCTTTTCCTTCTACCCCGAATTACCTGAGGCGGAGGAGGGGTCAGTGCAGACCAGTAAATCGTTAAGAACCTCTCTTGTTGTGAAATTATTGCCATCAACTGAAATCACTCATTTTATATTCATTTCTTCATTTATTTCCTATTTATCCACCCTCAAGCTGATCTTTCAGCTCACCTCCCTCTATGGCTATGGAAATTGGTCATAAACTTCCTCTCGACCCTCCCCAAGGCATCATTCTTGAGGCCAGCTCCCTGCTCAACCACATGGTTTCGAAGCTGCCCCGCGCCTCCTCGATTTTTGACAGGCTTCTCTCTGAATCAACCTCACAGCTCCCCAGACCAGTGTGGCCCTGTTTCGGGATCCCGGGGCCCCAGCCCTGAGCTGCCCTCAGCCTCTCCTCACCCCTCTCCAGCTCATGTGATGCGCCCAGTACACCCGGCCCCTTTTTTGCCCCACCTCAAAGTCCCTCACGTCCCAGGGGATCCTTGCCCGGCTGTGGACCACTGAGGAGGCAGCTACAATGACACAGCATGGTGTGAGGGTCAAATTCCACTCCTCCACCACCCCCATTTAAAGTGATACCCACCTAGCACCTCAGGCTGGAAGCGACACCCCTCGGAAGCAAATAGCACTTCCCTCACCTTTTACACACACCGATCCCCACCACTGAACTCTAAGCAACTAGACGACAGGAAAGATGAGTCCCTCCGAGCCTGGCATAGCACCTAACCTGCGGGTGGTAGGCTCTCTCAAGAAATATCTGGTGAGTCACTAAAAGAATGAGGGAATGAATGCTAAGAGAGAAAGAACGGCGTACTTTCTGCTCACGTCTACAAGGAATATCATAATGGAAGCACCACTATAAAGTAGCAGTCAGCCCCCCAAACCAAGCTTCTAGCTCACACCAAATCTATAAAAATCTTTAGAGTTTCTCCTTCAATTTGTTTGCCAAATTATTCAGTGCTAATACTGCATGGAACATAGCACAGTTCCATTAACCACAACTTAGGTCCATGAAGCAAAATGGAGCTTGGGGATTACAGTTTGCTGAAAAGGGAAGATCTCATGTTCAAGAGGTCTTTCTCATTGAATGGGGATAATGAAAGTTTAAGTCCCTGGGGACACTTGATGGAAAAGAAGTTGCTAAAGTGGCACATGCAACATCCTTCATTGCTTCTAACCAAAGGAGTTACAAGGGAGACGCGTTTTACCTACTGCTCCGCTGAGCACATCATCCAGGACAAAGAGTGAACTGAACTAATCATCACAATCTAGTTAGTTCTTCAAAGCACACGCATTTTCTAACTAAGCTAAACCACAAGATTTCTAATTAAACCTTGCCTAACAATAAAGTCAAAGTGAGCCAAACTCACCCATGGGGTGTTATCAGGAAGAGCAGGTATTTGGGCAACCAAAGCAACACACTTTAGTGACCTCATCCACTGAGGTTTGCTTTTTAACTTTTATCTAGGTATTTTGTTTTTGCATTTGTTTCTTAAAAACTATTCAACCCTTTTAAAAATATTTCTCTTCTGTGATGACTGGCTCTCCCTCCTTGCTTACTGGCCTGTCATGATGGCTCCCAAATGCTATCAGGACTAAAGGCTTGTTCACGAAGAAATGGATATAGTGAAGCTTATTGGAATCACTTGATTGATTGATTTCTCCTATTTTTCAACTGTAGTTGCACAGACTATAAAATCTGGACTCGTCAGTTACTTTGTCCCCTAAGCCAAGCACTGATGCCTGGTCAGGTCACTTGCAGAAGTTCCTGATCTCTTCCCTGCAGGGTCCTAAAGGCTCTAGTAAAGCACAGAATGTATTCATCTGTATGATGAAATTGCAGACAAAAAAAGGAAAATCATCTATGGACAGGTAAGGTGATTCTAGCAAGTACTGACTATATTCTAACCCTGGCACTGGTCATCAGGAGGAACTTTCATGAAAAAGGTTACTGGAAACCAAATATTACCTCTAAAGAGTAATTTTTAATAATATGCACAGCTAAAAGAAATTCAGTAGCGTCATATTCATATAGGGCATAAACCAGTCTTTATTTGAAAGCCATAAAATAAAAAGAATGCATCAATTGTTATTTGTTTTTAAACCCAACATTCATTTATAGATCTTCCCAAATACTAAATAATTTCTGTATTCTAATTCTTGGTCACTATTAACTACATTTCCAAAACCTTCAGTTTAGGATTTAGTCTACAGCCCTTTGAATCAATAAGATGACAAAATCACAAAAAAGGAAAAAACCACCTGGGAGTTATCAGTTTGCTTTGCTTTATAATTTTGCTGGTGGTTTCCCTAATTAAATAGTAAGATTTCTGAACAGCTTTTTCAAGAGGGACTGGATCCTTCCTGCCCCTGGCTCTTCAGAATGTTTTAACTGCCTCCTTAAGCAGGTTCTCCTGAGCAGATCACACAATCACACACTGCCCCACTCCTCCCTGCACCAGGCAGGCTGGACTGACCTTGACTTTCTGTTGGTGGTGGTAAATCTGCCAGGCGATGTGAACATGCATAGCACACCACTTCCCTGGTTTCTGGAACAAGAAAGAGCAACGTGGTCAGAAGGAAGATATTTCAGGGAAAACCACCTTCAATTTCCCCCAAGCTTTCAGCAGATTTTGGCTGCAGAGGCTTTTTTCATCAAGCAACAAGAATGCTTTGTCCCCAGCAGCAGCTCCCATCAGCAGCTCCCCAAGCCCAGTCATGAGGAAGTCATGTTGGCCCCTCTGTTCCCACGTGTGCCTGAGATGTCGGCGACTGCTCAGAAAGCCCCACTTGATGAGGAGCTCCCTGGTTACCAAGTACAAGATGGAAAACACCTGAATCCCACTTTGTGTCTCCCCTCTCTCTCTTTCCCGGTGCCAGCTGGCAGACCTGGTAGAGTAGGAAGTCCTACATAACAAATGCTGCCATGCTGTAATGCAAATCAGCTGTTCAGGAGAGCTGATTGTGAATGTCTGTGAATCAATCAGAATGAGGGTACAGAACCTGTGGTAACCTCCCCCAAGACTGTTGGTTTGTAAAAATTTAACCCCTAAAGTGGTACAAAGAAATTGACCACATTTTTACTTAAGCCCAGTTATCACAACTGCTTCACCTACCCATTCGTGTTGGTGGGCACTGTTCATTTCTAAGTTAGAAAAGAAACAAAACAACTCATTCCTTCCTGCTCTCTAGGTCTCTGCAGACATCACATCCATCCTGCACCCTCTGGGGAGTATATATCAATCCATGTCTCAAATTATTTCCTGCCCTCCTTTTATAAGCAGTGGAGTAACTGCGAGTGTATTCTTTTCTACCAACTAGAGGGCAGGAACCACCTCTTTCGACTTCATTCCTGCTAAGTAATCTACCCACAGGCTTAGCATGTGCTCAGTAACTACTTGATGAATGAGAAGAAAACACATTCCACATTGGCAAAGGACAGAAGCTTCTGGTTTCTATATCAAGGAGTTGTTTTGGAAATACATACTTAAATCCAAGTCTGGGGTCAGATCTCTTCTCTTATAATGAAATTATGGTTCGTTTGAAATCACAAAGAATATGCTGCCTCACCTAAGTGATGACATGATCTTCCTTTTCCCCTTCAGAGAAATCAAATGATCTGGTTATATGCACCAGAAATGGGTTTAAGTATAGGAGGAAATCCACTGTCCATCCATCTTCCTCCCAATCATCCAATATCTCTGTTCCCCCCGCCACCAGGCAAGTCGGTGTCATTCAGAGTCATCTGCTGGCCACTCTCCAGACTCAAGAACAATGTGCTGTAGTCAAGACGTTCACAAAGCCCTTTCATGTACCAGAGAAACAGGTCGAATGGCTATGGCAAGTCAACATCCCTTAGTGCCACCAGGATACGCGAGCCACCAGACAAAACGAACAGACCCAGACATGAATTTCTTCAGTGCAAGAGAGACTAATTTCAGACTATAGCTTAAGTCTTTTACCTTAAGTTCCTACTACTTAAACCTATTACCAACAAGAGAATCTGACTCAGTTGAATTTTATCTGATACATAAGTAAAAAAAAGCCAATGGTTTGGCTTCCTCCAACACTCAAAGCAAAACAATTTAGGCCATTTTCAATCATACTACCTCTAAAACCCAATCACTGTCATTCCAACATTTTATTCCAGCATTTCTATGGCTTATTTCCTTGTAATGAGCTTGTATTTTTAACCCACAGGGAGTCAAACAGAGGTTGCAAAACAGTTCTAGAAGAAGCTTTCTTACCCTTAACATAGGTCTGAAAGGATCTGTCAACTGTGAAGAGAAAATGACAACTTGGTTACATGCCTGTCACTCAAACAATTGCTCTAATTAACAAATTTGTAGTGCTTCATTAGGAGGGGAAATTAAAATGTTAGAATTTTACTTTTAAATGAAGCTCTTTTAGAGAATAATTAACCCATTTTCACACTATCAAAAGTGCCACGTGTCCCCTCCCCCACTTCACAAGCCTTGGAACATCTAAACTGACAAGCCCCTGTACAAGTTTACTCGATAGCAGTGTGCCCTCTGGCAATGTGACCTGCTCACATTACACATCAGGATGTCACTATGTTGAGAGGCCTTTCCACCGCAGCCTATAAAGGCCTGACACTAGTGGCTGTCTGGAGAGAGTGGTACTTTCCAGGCACAAGTACAACTAGGCTCTCTTTACCAATACCTTTATTTTGAAGACTATAAATCACTTGTTCAGATTAGACATTTTCAAGAAGTTCACTAAACACTGTAAAGATACTTACATAGTTGAGTCATTTTAAACTTCTACCTAACTCTGGCCATCAATTTCTGACTGCCCTTACCCAGGGAAATAGACAATATTGTAAAGATAATCATTTTTTTCACATTTACTGTAAAGATGGATATAAAATAACAATCAATGAGACAAAATTATATCTATCATGTAACTTCAAATTCTTTTTTAGAAGTAGGTAGTGGTATAAAGTATGAATAAATAACACAACCAAAGCATAATGGATATTTTATTTAGCTCTGGAGGATGAAAGGATCCCTACCACATTAAAAATAGAGGGCCAGAAGAGCTGTGTGTGCAGTAACTTCCTGACCTCAGGCAGAGGGATGTATCCTGTCTTCCAGGAAGAAAAGCACCCAGTGCTTTTTCCATTCAAAACATTCTACAGTTATTTCTTTTGTGTGAGCGACATTTAAGGAGATGTAGACAGAGTAGATTGGTCAAGTGGAGAGTATACAAGCTCGGTGTCCAACTTCTGGGCTCAGACCATAAGCCCTTCCTCTTTTCTCCCACTGGCAAGTCAGTCCCCTTGTGTCGTTAGGTGGGTACTACAGCAGAGATTTCTGTTTGCGGAGAAACTGGCATTTTCTCTCACAAACTAAAAGGCACAGCTGCCAAGAGCAGCGGCTCAGTGGAGCTGGCGAGGGTGCGAGTACCGGGGTAGCTGTCTGTGCGGACACTCACGCCCTGATGTTACCTGAGACCAAGCCTGACTGTGCACGTACCCTCGGGTCCTTTTGGAGTAAAGTGTGTGGGACTGTCCCAGGCCGAGCAGCGACATCGATAGGGTTGGATGTCTACAAATTAATTAGACCACAGCTTAGGAAGCATAAAGCAAGTGATACGAAAGCAAGACCTTTGCTTCATTCTGAGTTACAGAAGTCAAACTTCTTTTGTTTCGTGCTGAAATACAAGATTTGTTTTTCTCATGACCACATGTGCTCTTTATGAGAACCAGGCTCCCAATCTCTCAAGTGGCTCTGACCAGAGACTGTTCTCTCTGGCAATGGCATCTAAGAGCAGAAGTGGTTCTCAGCACATTTCACCTCAATAAAAAGCACAGGACCAAAAAGAGACACGAGACATGTAAATGCTGCCCCTGAAGCCCCACTTCTTCCAAGTTAACTAACAGCACTGACTGTCACTGGTTTTTCTGTGCTTTATCACCAAACATCCCAAGAAATGCTTAAGTGAACATTATTATAATTTGTAGTATCAGGTGCCTCTCATCAGGATAACTGACATTAAGCTAACTCTCTAAATTTTTTTTTTTAAAAGATGACCGGTAAGGGGATCTTAACCCTTGACTTGGTGTTGTCATCACCACGCTCAGCCAGTGAGCAAACCGGCCATCCCTATGTGGGATCCGAACCCGTGGCCTTGGTGTTATCAGCACCGCACTCTCCCGAGTGAGCCACGGGCCGGCCCTAACTCTCTAAATTTTAACCGGCAGACAATAACAAGGAATTATACTCAGTAATTACTCACTAGCAGTGGTGGAAATAGGACAAGGGAACCTAATTTAGGGACCACACAGATCTGCTATGAGACAATTTCTACAGCAATTCCGCTTTGTCTTTCCTATTCCCACCACCATTCTCCAATATCATTAATAATAATTACCTTATCTGTAGGCTTTTGTCCTTTGAATTAACAACGACAAAAAGCCTACTTGAGCACAGTCACTACTTTCTAGTGCGAAAGGATTTAGACAAGAACACCAGTTATTTTATTTAAGAAACTACAACTTCTATGAATCCCCCTACACTAGGAAGTTAACTCATGGAAATAAGAGCTCAAGTTTAGGCATGAAGCTTGCCTACAAGGAGAAGGGGAAAAAGGATGGAAGAAAGAAAAGCAATCAGCTGCAGTACAACTAACAATTAAGCTGCAGTTGTTAACAGCCCTGATTTGCATACATATGAAGAACTCCACTAATGAACTGCGATCTACATATTCAATCAGTAAGATGGCCTGGAAAGGCCTATTTCAACACCAGGAGAGACATTTTCTTGCCCAGATGTAGTTTTCTGTGTGATTGGATAATTGTGAGTGAGGGAAATAGTCTAATTTATTAAATGACCTACTAGTCTGTTTGGAGATACACTAGAGAGTTGTTGCAACCTAGAGGGGACAGACCAGGGAAAAGCAGATTGGGAGGAAGGAGTTTAAAAATCACCATCATTTTATCTCAAGATAGGAGGTGTTAAACATGGCCATCCTCAAAGCCCTCTGTATCTGTAACCTTGCATAGAAGCTACAATTCCGTGCAGGTAAATCTGATTTCAAAGGTGTAGCCCCTGATGACTTTTAATTTTTTCCGTTTCTAATTTTAAGGCAACATGCCTTTGGAAATGCAGTATGTACTTATCCTGGGAGACTCTAGCCCAAAACTGGGGTTTTACCTTAGAAATGAGATGGGAAATAAAAGAAAACCAAAGTCACACACAGCAAAATATCTTACTTTATAATCTGAGAATGGTGACCAACACGAGAAGTACGCTACACTTTTTTTGTATGAAAGTAAAATGGGTTGTAGTAGATTTTAAACAGGTAGAGTGCTCTGACAATTACATTTCAATATGGACCTTCAGAGGCATCTGTGGCCCAAGCTGAACAGCTTATCACTGACCAGGTAGAAAATAATTTAGTTATAAAGGGCAAAAGGTTAATTTCACACTAGGATGTTGCTAACTGATGATAGTCTTGACCTTGGCAAGTGTGACCATGGTTGGGGGGGTGGTAAGTCTGAGAGGGAGCAGCGAGGGCAGAAGAACAAAACGAGAGGCGTTCACCCTCCACCTAAGACAGGCCCTGTTTGTAGACGGATGAGGCTAATGAGGGAAATGACGGGGAATGAGTAGAAGAATCTTCCCCTGACACAATTAACAGATACAATTTTGGTTTTGGAAACTTTATTCCTCCTTCTATTGAAATTAACAAAGACTCAGCTTTGCATCTCTGCTAATAATATATACCTCAAGGATAACTTGGTACACATCTGACGTTTCATAGAATTCCTGACCAGAAGCTTATGTCCACAGTATTTGTAGAAAAATATATATATTCTGCATATTTTAAAGAGCATAGGAAATGTTAGCTCAACTGAAGTTACATGGGTAGTGCAGACTGACAAGTAAATTTTTGCTGAGGTTTAAAAACTAGACGGACTTGAAAAAAATATTCTCACTCTAATCCCAATGGTCACTTTGGATTTGAAGAATGAGTCAAAGTGCAGGACAGAGGATGGAGGACCACCCCCCCCCCCCCCCCCCCCCCCCCCCCC